TGTGGCTTTTTTACTATATTATTCTTCAAAGCATTTGAAGTTCTGTGGAATATAAATTGCCGCATGAATCGAAGATTAAAAAACTCCATATTTATATTTCCTTTAGTTGATCTCTTATTTAGATGGACGTAGCCCTCGTTTGGCCCCCATTTTTTCCAAATTTTAATGTTTAGAATAGTGTTTTTTTGAAGAATGTGTGGTTGAAAAAGAATGAAAAGTTTTCGATTTACGTGTAATAATATTTTATGGAAGATTGTGTTGTTGAAAATAAGTGAGGAAAAAAAGAAAGAGAATAGGGGCCAAACGGGGGCATGATAGTGTGACATTGTGACTGAATGAATCTAAAATTGGGAACGTGCAGAATCAGCACTTAAACTTCTTAATCAGGTAGTTGCAAGTGGTGGTGTGGAAATTGATATTTCATTTCTTGGAAATGATAGGTCCAAGTTGCACGGAGCCAATTACAAATTTGGTTTGATTATTTGGAGTTTTTCTTTCAATAAGTCATACTTGTTTAGGGTCTGGATCCCAGGTTTTATTTTTCTTTAACTTTGTACATGCAAAACGTAGAGGAAATAAATCTCATGTCTGTTATTAGAGAAGAAAATTATTTTTCTAAAGTTGTTTATCAGTTATTTTAATTGAGGCAATTGCATGAGCTTCATAGTATTTTCTGAGGCAAAGTGATGTTTTAGGTTGCGGAACGAGCACTATTTCTGTGGAATAATGAACATGTAGTGAGCTTGATTGCCCAGAACCGGAAAGTCATTTTGCCAATTATCTTCGAGGCTTTAGAAAAAAATATTCAGTCCCACTGGAATCAGGCAGTACATGGTCTCACTGTTAACGTTCGAAAAATGTTTTTGGAGATGGACGTGGAGTTATTCGAGGAATGCCAAAGGCAGTATACAGAAAGGGAAGCAAATGCGAGAGAATTGGAAGAACAACGAGAACTGACGTGGCAAAGATTGGCCGCTGCTGCTGCACAAGAACGCTGACAGGATATGGCTATTGCTTTTTTGGAATGCAATGAGCAGTCCCAATCCAAGATCGAAAGGCGAACCTTTTTCCCATGGTATTTCATTTTTATGTTCTGCTTTGCTCAATCATTAAGGATTATAGATTAAGCAACTAGTAATGTAACTTAGATGTATCGATATGTGCTGCAGATTAAGATTGGTTTGTGAAGCATTTCTTGCGTTTGGGTTTTTACCATATTTTACCCAACTTGAGAACTTTTTATTCTCGTGTTGAAATTAGTTGATCCATGTTTTTATTCTTGAAGATGATTGGTATTTGGAGTTCCATAGATGACTGAAATGGCTTACGTGACTTTTTTTTTTTTTTTTTTTTTTTGGGTTGAATTTTCTATCGTATTCTTCGTAGAAGTCTCAACCTGTGCGAGCGCGTCTTAGTTATACGATGGTTCTCTTGATCATTGAAATTAATGCTCGTTTCAATGTGCTTTTCTTTGTACAATGAATTAAATAAATAAGAAAATCAGACAAAAAGAAAGAGAAAACAAAATTAGAATCAAAATACGTATTCGTCTAGTTTGATTTATAAGGAATTTGATCAAACAATTGACAATTTTTGTTATTAAATTGTTGTTTATGTCATTCGATGAAGGTTGACATTTTTTATACAAGTAGTCTTTGTTTGGTGTGAATAAAAATTGATTTTGATAAAAGTTATTGAAATATGTAGTTAAAAGGTCGAACAATTGTGAGTCTTATAAAATGTGCGGTGAAATGAGTTTTATCTTTTATTTTTATTTTTATTGTTTTAAGAAAAAATAGTTTTAAGAAATAAGGATTAAACGAGGGGATAATAAAGTATTTTTATTATTTATCAAACGGGTCAGGTTAAGAGTAATATTATTTAGGGAAAATTTCATAGATAAAAGATTAAAGTATGACATATTTCAAAATTAAGAAAATAAGTTTTAAATTTTAAAAATCAGATTTTTATTAAAATTTATTTATGATTTAATTAATTAAATATATTTAGATCACATATTTATACAATTTGGTCACAAATTAACAATTTAATTAGTCATTTATTATTTTTTGGTCACAAATTAGAAATTTTATGTAAAAAAATGATTTTACGATCACAATTCAAAATTTTTGTAGAATTTGTTCATTGGTTACAAATAAAAAAATTAATTATTTACGGATTAATTTTTAGTCACAACTTATTTTTCGATCACAATTTAAAAATTTTAAAGGTCACGAATAAAAATATTTACAGGTCACAGATCACAAATATTATAGGTCACAAATTATTAATTTTTTAGGTCACATATATCTCTTGATCGCAATTTATCTTCTTCATTGGTCACATATTATTTATTATTAATATATTAACCAATTCACTGGTCACAATTAATCAAATAATCCGTGACCATCACCATCACCATAACCAACACTTACGACCACCACTTCAACACTGTCTCCAACAGCACCACCATAATCGTCAAAACTACCACCACATTGGTCACAAATTAATCAATTATTGGTCACAACTTTCAATCAACCAATAAAATTGTCACAATTCGGTCTCCATCCCACAGCTCCAAAGTACCGTCCCACCGCTAACCTCTACCAGTGACGTCGCCCACCACCAACACCACCACCATTATAACAGCAACATCACCCATGCCCCATCCTACCACTTCAAAGCACCGCACCGTCGCCAACCACCACCAACACCAGATCGTGTTACCAATGCCATTCCCACACATAAACTACCCGCTACAAGAACCAACGTCGCCAACCGCTGTACTAAGTAGATCGAATAAAAAATCGAGGTGCTACAGCGACAGCCCGCAACCACCACACCACTCACATCCCATCAAGGTGCTATAGTGACGATAATGGGGGAGAGGGAAATGAGAGACTGAGAAGAGAGACAAAGGTACAAGGCGCCACCGACACTACACAAACCACCCCAATCGCCAGATCAACCACCACAAAATCACCATCACCTCCACCACCTAAACCGCCACCACACAAACACATCGCAATGCTGTTACTCACCCAATCGCTAGCTCCAGCGCCATAAAATGCCATCACACAAACCATCACCACCACCACACAAAACAACACACAAGCCGTACAAAAACACAATAGCCACCACGACAAAATCACGAAAACACAAACACCATCGCCTGTGATGCCGCTTCAAATCGCTTCATTGCGACTCGTCGTCGCAACAGAGGCGCTCACACAAGAGGAGTTGCTGCAGCGACAACCCGATGGCGATGGAGACGATGGTGGAGAGAATGATGGGAGAGGAGAGAACGACTTGGTTGTTTTTAGGGTAGGGTTTGTGAATATAAATTAATTTATAATAATATTGTTAATATATTGATTTATAATGATTAAATTAATTTCTGATTTGTGAATATACAATACTTGGATTTGATTTTTGAAATATTGATTTTAATAGTATGATTTCCTCATTTCCACTATTATTTATAGACTCGTCACTATAATGGAACTCTATCTCTACATTAAAGTCTTTGTTTTACAGATTTATAAATTATTTATAAAGAGGAATAACAATAAATTTCACGAAATTTATGAATAATAATTAGTAGTTATGAATGCATCTTTGAAATTAATATTTGACTGTGATTAAATATATAAATTTTTCGTAAATTTATATTCAAACAGAGTATAAGATGGCAAATTAATGAATGTTATTTGAATATCGTCTAGACTGAGTATGATGATCAGTCTAGATAAATAATATTACTATTAATTAATTCTTTGGAATAGTGAGGTCATGAGCACTGGCAGAGAATGAGGTCACGTTTTATTTCAAAATCAAGTACTCTACTCTTAATAGAAAATAAATGTCCGTTCCTTTTTGTGCTATCTACCAAAATAATACTATCGTCTTGTCGACCTTTATATCTGTACATATGCATATTATAACTAAATTATAATTTTATTCTAATGAATAAAAGGAGTAATAGGATTCACATTATAAAAGGTGAAAGGTTTTAAGCTAATTATCGATACGATGACTTTCTTCTTTTATCCAAGACTTCAAATCAGTTATATAAAAAAAAAATGAACAATGCTTGGTCTGTCAGGCTTTGAGCCTCACAAGCTCTCTACAGGTACTTACATGAGGTAGGTCCTGCATGGGACCCACCTTAGTAAAATAATACCCCATAAATGTCACCCTTCCTTGTTTTGTGTGAGGCCTGTAAATGGCCTGTAAGGGACGAGCCTTGTAGAGCACCTCGGTTGTAAAAGAATAATGCAAGCAAGCTTGTGAAACGTGCAAAATCAGAACTCTGCGAAGAAATTACCCGTACTTGTACTAATTAATGTTGTCTTAGCATGCTACAACAACAAATTTAAGTTTTGATCTCACTCAATTTGAATCAAGTACGATGTGGTAGATGTTTGTCATTCCCGAGCTTTTTATCGTGAGGATTTGAAAATGACTTTTTCTATTACTTCATCAATGTTGTGCTCGGGATAGAGGTGCTTGAGCAAAGGAATATGCTCGAGCATCATGTACCATGCGGTGACGACGATGTATGGCAATTATCCTCGGGATATGTCCTTAGGCATGACAGCTACTTGAAGGCTTAACGTCCTTGAGCCTGCCCCTTGGTCAAACCTAGGGCAGCTGTTTTTAACCTAAGATGATTCCTACATATTTAGGACTCTAACACTATCCAAATACATTGACACTTGACTCTTACTGGGACTCTATCTCAAATACTTTACTATAAAGTTATGATTGGACTTACAATCGTAGTACAAGTCCAATACGTCTTTAAGGTACCACTCCTACGAATAAGGATATTCTACTAACTTAATCCTACTAGGAGTGTAGTAACTATCTCTATAAATACACGCCTTTCATTCATTATTCAGGTACGTTTTTCCATTATTCTCAATTTATAGTCTCACGCACAAATTTTCTTTATGACTTAAGCATCGTAGGGGCGACAAGGACACCTCGATATCTTTGTTTCAGATACCGAAAGATCTCGCTCGTGTTCATGTAAAACTCCTCTGATCATGCAATACCTAGGTGCCCTTGATCGGACTCTCCTCGCTACTCGAGGATCGTCTGGGAGATTTCCATTAGTTATGAAGTCTACTATCGGGTCCATTTATGAGGGTTCATGGTCAATGTCCATGACACCGATGGAATGATTGATGCTAGGCTCTATCACAATTTTTATATAGACTATCTTGTCAAGTCCATCAAATCCCATGAGTACCAGTCTAGACAATCGACCTTACAGTTGTCAGCTCAAGCAATCTTTACAATTTCACATCAATTAAATCGTTGCTGAATGTCATGAGCTTTCAGACAATATGAGCTCATTTTCTCGTCTTTCCTTTCAAATGTACCTTCAATCTGTCTAACCACAAGCTAAAAATCACTTAAGATTTAGACTCGGTGGTGTCGGAGAGCTCGAATATCTATCTTTTTCTACATTTCATTTGCTTTATTGTTAATTATCACTCTATCACCTTTTATTTGAGTCGCAACATAGGTAAATAAACGGAATGAGGTGTAAAGTGACCATGAAAATGAGTTTAAAAATGCACAGCTTTGTTCTGGGGGTGGCTGTCACGAGCTATTGAGCGACTGCCCACTTCCCAGCAGCCTAGTCGACCAGAAGCTCTGGTTGACAGCCAGCAAGCCCATAGGGGTCTCGACTGACCCCCATATGATACCTTGACTCGTGCTAACTCTTTGTCCAAAATCAATATTTTTGAAAACTCTCCAACTCCTTATCTTTCCTCCTTTATTGAGGCTTTGAGACCAGATGTGAAAAATGTAGCCGATGTCGACTAGAATGCTATGAGAAGAAAATAGGCAATTGAAAAATCCTTTGGATTACTTAACGAATTGAATTGTACCTACATATTTCTGCAACACTAATATTATTACTTGTAGTCAAGCATAAATAGAAGTTACGTACTTAAAAACTCATATTACACAGTTCATCTTTTTCTAACACAAAAAATAAGCCATCACATTCACACAACTACAGTGCACAATAATCGTAGAAAAAAGAAAATTATACAAATCATTCAATATCCAAAAACGTGTTCTTGATGTCAAATATGTAAAACTGAAAAATAAAAAATCATATTACACGGTTCATCTTTTTCTAGCACAAACAAATCTAATCTAGCATGTTATGAAGAAGAAAACAAAAGAAATATTGAAAAATCGATATCACCTAAATAAATCTTAAATTGAATTTTCGAGTTTTGGAATCTATTTTTATGTTTCTTGCCTCCTATGCTCTAAAATCTATATGGATGTATTGTAATGCGTGGTGACCACTTTTGGATGGCCCTCGGTTTTTAAAAGACATCCCAAGAATTATTTTCACAAGAATTCAAGTCATATAAGGAAACTATAATTTTTCCTCTAAAAATATACTGTGCTATACCAGAGTACAAACGCAAGCTATAGCATAGTTCAATGAAATTCAATTCTGGAGCTCTCTAAACCATGCCACGTTACCGCATAGGAGATAACACTATTCTATAACATAATTCAAGTGAACATTCATTATTTGCATGTTGGTCCCCGAACTCTATTCTCTCGTTTCTTAACCTCTTTTCTCACTTCTTCTTCTTCTTCTTCTTCCTCTTTCAGTACTTCATGTCTTCGCACAATTGGTTTTCAACTCTTTCTCATCTTCGTTTATTCTTCCTGGCCATCTTCAACTATTTACACTTTGGTCCCTAAACTTTGATTTTCCTCCACTTTAGTAATTTTTTTGCTTGTTTCTCCTAAATTCCACGATACTCATTAATGTTGTCCTACAAAACGGGCGGTTCATTATGGATAGTTCAATGTACATTAGGAACTTGTCAACATATAATTAGAAGTTTTCTTTAACATTTTTTACAATGCAAGACATTTTAATTTCAATTCTTATATGAATCTCATTTACTAAAATCACCATCCTTGAATTCTGGAGAGTAGATGTCAGGGTTCCAAAAGTCCCGTAACTCGAAACCGTCCGAAGAATCTACAGCCGATCCAAAAATGTTGTCTTCAGAGGATATTCGCAGTTTCTAGATGATTGAGTGGCTATGTCACATTTTAAAGTCTGCACATAATAGGAATACGATAGTGAAGGCACTTGAAAAATTGTATTGAAGCTCATAAATATTTTAGTGAAGACTCCTTTCTCCCCAACTACTGATATATTTTTAAACCGACAACTCCGATAGTTCTTTATTTCATTATCAGTTCTTCCTAGCAACCTTTGTGCAATCTTCGACCACCTGCCAAGTGAAAAGTAGTTTGACGTGATATTAGAGCTGGTAAAATTCAAATTTTATTTTCCCGTGGTCACTAAATTATGGAAAAATTTAATCTTTTAGACGAGCCAGATCGACAACATAATCTTCTCTTTTTTTTTTTTTTTTTTTTTTTTTTTTTTGGGAAAAAAAAAAAAAAAAAAAAAATATTTGTTTGACCTGCCGATGTGGGTAGGTGGGTAACATAATTTTTGCCCACCGTGAACAGGGAATAAATTTTAGCATAATGAAATGACATGCTGCAAAATTCCAATGCCGTTACTTTGAATTTTCTCCGTTTTGGGTTTTCATTTGCGGCCGTTGTACTATTAGACAATTCTTAAGTTAGTAAATATACTTTAATTTGTTTTAATTAGGTAACTATACTTCACTGTTGTCTCAATTTTAGTCCTTTGTCTGATTCCGTCACATTGTTTAACGAGGACATTGACGTGGATGTTACATCCTAACGGGTTGTAAAAAATATTAAATTGTGTTGATGGCTACAAATAACGTGGTAATTATATATCAATTTAAACTAAATTTAGAAAAGTAATTGTATGTATTTGCTGGAAAAATTGTAAAGAAAAGAATGATTCTCGTTGAGCAGTGTTTTAGATAAATTTGCTTGGCTTGGCCTTTTGTGGGAAAATCTTACATGGAGTGCATTAGCTCTCTTCGAAGTAAATTGTTTCTCTTATTTATAGTTCTTTCAATTATGGGCTTGTTGTCTTTGTCTTGTCAAGTTACAGTGTTTAACATCAATTTGTGAGTCATTGTCCTTTTTAAAGAGATTTGATTGGCTATTGAGTTCGACCAATCTTGTTGCAGCCCACCATGATTGTTTGTCATCTAGGCAAACATTGGTAGAAACCATGGTGTCAACATTAGGATGGACTCCTGTCTTTTTTAATTGATTGTTGGGGGAGTTGACGTAATTAAAGAACACATTTTCAATCATGTAATGATGATGTTTACTAATGAAGGCATACTTGCTTAATGGATGAGTTTTCAGTTTGACATGTTGCTATGATTTGGGGTTTTACCGTTAAGCCCCTTTCAATCATTGGGTCCGAGGTGCTTGTAAGATTGGACTAATAAATTGAAAATTACATTTTTACATGGATTGAAAATAACACGAAAGGTGGGTTTTCGATTGAATCACTTCTTTTATGTCATATTTTCATGGTCATGTATGCGATCATTAGTATTTAGTATTCACGTAAAATATATGACGCTAGACAATGTGGCGAAACTGAATGAAATGACTTAAATTGAGACAAAATTAAAATGTAGCGATCGAACTGACATAAAATTATAGTATAGTAGCTCAATTGACACCAAATTTTTTTTTTTTTTTTTAAACAAAAAATAAAAAAAAAAAAAAAAAAAAAAAAACCCTATTTCAAACATTAGAATTTGTAAAAAATGAGGGACCAAACGGTTAATATATGTATTTTCTCTCCCAACTTCTGAGTTGGAGAGTTAATATCTTTCACCTTCAATATTGCTCTTTACTTCGTCGTGATGATTTATGGTTGAAACCATGCTTTGGCTGCAAGCTTTAAATTACAAGTGGCGCAATTGATTTTTCACACTTTAATTCAGAAACAACATTGATTTCGTCATCATTGAATTACTATAATTTGCATCCCTTTCTATCCCACATGCCGTTGACTTATTAAAGGAGCAATACTAAAAGCATGTTATGATTAAACGGGAAAAGCAAATAATTTTTTGTTTGTATAAATGTTAGATAAATCATTTTTAATTACTTTTAATTAAAGAATATTTTATTTTAAAACAATTTTTACTTGTTCTATTTTTTTCCAATACAAAAACTAAAATTTATCAAAATGTTTCCGACACACTTAGCTCTTACAATCTACCATGCAACACTGAACTCCTCGATTCCGTTCATTGTAGTCTTGGCAAAATCAGATTATCTTAATTTGTTGTATTTGTAAGTGCACTGAAAATATTGTAATATAAAGAAGAGATAATTGGCGCATAATAGACGAGAGGGTTAATAGACAATTGCAACTATAGTATAAGGACCTCTAAATAAAAATGTGCTTCCACTCTTTTAGTTGCCTACTTTTGCTAACCAATTTCCTCGTTGGTTCCCCATGAGACCTTCTTGACCTTTCATCATTCACATCCTTAGAATGAATGGTAATGATTTATTCAACCTTATTGTTAGTATTGATTCTCTAAAATCTTCTGTGAGATATTAAACGAAATAAATGTATAAGAAAAGTTATAGCTACAATCTTCTACAAGTCATTACAATCATTCTATATGGAACATTCTGGATACTTCTCTCGAATATTTTAGAAAGTTCTTCCAAAGCTCTCTCATGGAATATAATAAGAGCATTTGACACATTTATTTAAACTTTTAAAATTGCATAATAATAATTATTTGATCATATTTTTACCTAATATAGTATACATATTGCTTTCACATGTAAAAAATTCGACTTGAAGGTAAACTGAGCATGAAGGAAGAGAATTGGAGCTTAAAGCATGTAATTGAAGAGCCACCAGTAAGCTTGAGCTAGATTAGAAGCTTTGAAAGTGCTGAGTGTATGCATTCACAAATTTTGGAGACTAAATTGGACATTTGAAGAGTTTGGAGACCAATTTGAGCATTCTCGTAACTTTGGAGGACAAATTTGAAGAACATATGAGTTGAGAGACCAAAAGTGAATGAGTTTGGGAAATGGAAGTTGAGGACTAAAAGTGTACAAAAACCTGAAGATCCAAAGTGCACGGAATAAAAAACTATTATGGTCACGGTCTCATCCCATAGGATTGTAATAATCCACGCTCAAGGCTTCTTTACTTGACTTGTAACATCCTCCCCGAGTAACATATTCTCCACAAAAAATGAGTGTCATGTCGAACATCTAACTCGTCTCATTTTAATTTTGCACTTTTTTAGACAAGGTGGAAAAAAATGATGAAAAGTTATCGCTAACTTATCTAAAATAAATATTTATTGCATTTTTCCCAACCCCACAATAATTGAGATATCTACCATATTGATTGGGGAAAACGAATTTAACATAAACATTTTCATTTATCAATAATCACATTTAAATTAATTCTCTAAATCTCATTAACAATATTATAACGAAACAAATTCTCCCTCAAAGCTAAAAGTTCATAGCATTAAAGCCCCATTTGAATAGCCCACTTCATCAAAAGAGGCGAAGCATCCACATTAGCCCACCCCCAGAGGCAAGGCATCGTCACCCAGAGAAAAGCCCGGACCATGGTCCAGTTCAGTTGTGCGATGAGTGTTTGATCCATCCATCCATCACTTTTAGTTATTCCTAACTCTACAAATGAAGTCTTTTAATTTGTAATTCTTAAATAATAAGTTATATTTCAGTATCTCCGACTCGATCATTTTATAACACAATTTCAAACATAAAGAACTGAGTCAGAAAGGAGTGATTCTCATTAATTTCCAGACAAAGCATAGTAAACTGGATGTGTCCTTCAAAAGGATGACTGGATTCTACCATCAACTGAAAAGGAAAGATGAGCCAGTATGATATAAAGCTTCGTCCATTGAAGAATACAGAAATAATTGGCAGAGACTTCTTTTATCCAATCATCTAACCATTTCTGATATTCTCGATGCACATGAAGAATGGCCTCCTCTTGTCTGCCTTGTATTGTAGGAGTTACAATTCAAGCACTTGTGCGCCACGACATGAAAGTTCACTTCTGATGTTTCTCCACAGTCGTTACAAAGGATCCATACCTAAATCATCGGGACATCAAAATTAAGAACTTCAGATATCTTAATAATTAAAGCACGAAACGTTTTAATGATTTAGGACTCCATTTCTTACCATCTTGTTTTGATACATTTCAGGCATAGGAATTGAAGCGACCTGGATTTAGAAGCAAAAAACGATATGGTTAGAGTACAGGAGGGAAAGGGGGAAAAGAAAAAAAAAAAAAAAAAAGATCAAAAACATCATCATTGTAAATTTTCAGACCTCCTGATCCAGCTTCTCCCATACTCGGGTCATGTCACAGTAAGATTTTGAGCAAACTGGGCAAGAATACCTGTATGCCTCAACCATTAGCACAAATGCCTTCGATGAAAAGAACACGACTTAAGCTTTTAGAAAAGTTGGTTCGACATTTTATTTGAGTGCAGGCAGAAGAAATTCTGCGTTCAAGTCTCACTTATATCCATTTATAAAAAATATGCATGTGGGGGAGGTGTTGAATGCAAAATTTACACTATAATAATTAAGCTTTTAAATGATGTGGTTTAACAGAGGGAGAGGATGGGAAATCTTACTGGAAATGCCTTTCCATCTCCTTAACGCATTCGAGATGTATAGTATGGCCGCATGGCAATACAGTAATGCCTCTTGTGGTATCGAAAAGATACTGCATTACGAGATAAAATAAATTAAAACAAGAATTTAATGAAATTACTTCTCTTACTATAGCAGCAGTATCATATATTTACCTCAAAGCAAACTGGGCAATTGTGGTGCATTGCTCTTTCTACACAAATATGTGCCTCCTTTAATAAATTTGAATAGCAACATTCTGAAACAGAAAACACATATCTTCAACTGCTTGGTTCATGACACCGACTATCAATAAGTAAAACTCGTCTAAAAAAATGAATTACCACATCTATCACAATGGAAATAATTTTCCTTGCCACCAGTTCTGTTTTGACAGAAGTCCAAAAGAGAAAAAGGAAATTAGATACAGAGAGTTGAACAAAATTATCTACACAAGAAAGGAGTGGAAAATGAATTCGCCATCGAAAAATAGGCAGCCAAAATTCTGTAGAAAAACATATTCGTGACAGTGTTCATATGCCAAGAAAATTTATCAGAAAACAATAGCAGTACAAAGATTGAGTCGAGATGGCAGGAACAAAAAGCCACGTAGTATGCCAAACTGGGGGGGGGGGGGGGGGGGAATTCAATAAAAATAGATCTTAACCTGCAGATTCGACATTTATCACAGTGGTATTGATTCTTTGAAACCTAAGAAAGAAAGGAAAAAAAGGCGGGGTTATTCAAGCAGACGCTTGATAAAAAAGTAATGCTTGAGAAATTAACCAAGACGAAGCTTACATCGTCGTCAAAGAATTTGCAATTTGAGCAATAGTACTTCCCCATACAAGTGCCGCAATTGATACAAGTTTGTTGAACCTAAATGGCAAATAAAATTGGTAACATGAATAAAATAAGTAAATCATCTAGCAGCATAACTTTAGTAATTTGTCAAATGTTAGCATTTATAGTATGAGTTTTGAAGGATGAAACTCACATCTTGTTCTGTGTTACACATTGAACAGATGACCTGAAGCCAGATATAAAACAAAATTAGTAAAAATTAATGTACCATATAGCATATGTTGTTTAGTGAATGACAAATGGAGATGCATCGTGAAATT